GCAATCAGCTGGTTTTCCTTAGATAGAAAACTTTGAATCAATCTGACTGGATGATCTGGTGAACTGGAAAGTGACCTGAGATGGCATGTGTTCATCATTATCTCTTATATTTACTTGTATTTTATTTTATTTTATTACTTTGAAAAACAGAATTTGAACATAACTTATTGAACCTGGTTGGACAGCAAATCAGACGGTACCCAGTACTTGAATATGAATATGAATATGGATGACTACATTCTACTTTTACTTGAGTAAAAAAGTACTCGAGTAAAACCTTTGGGTACCCACCTCTGCCAAAAAACATTTTCTAGTCCTGTATTTTATTTGGCTAATTCATTGACAAAGCAACAGGATACAGCTGATAACTGTGAAGGAAGAGGAAAGATGGCTTCCAAGAAGAAGGGAGTTTTTCCTCTCCACTGTCGCTACAAGCATGCTTAGTGTGAGGGATTGCTGAAGAGTTGCTGAGTCAATGCAATCAACTGGTTTTCCTTAGATAGAAAACTTTAAACCAATCTGACTGGATGATCTGGTTGAACTGTCTATAAAATGATTTGATGTAAATTGGTGCTATAGAAATAAGCTGAATTGAATTGAAGATGTATTTCTACTGATTTTATGAGCGTTTGGATTTGATCTGAAGTGAGGAGGGTTTGATCTGTGAAACAATTTGAATACAATGAAGTTCATCAAATTCAATCTGAAAAACAGAAATTGTAAAAAAAAAAAAAAATTATATATATTTAAATATTAAAATTAGAGTCGAGGCAGAGGAGGAATTGACTTTCAATTATTCTAAGTGATATTTTATTATTACTTGAAGGTGAGAGTTTTACTGACTGACTTACTTTTACTTTTATCAATAAATTGGGGTCTGTATGTTGTTCTTATTTGATAACTTAGCGCTTTTTCATAAAGGATTTTTGGGCCTAACTGGAAGGCGAAGTTTTTACACAAATTAAGTCCCATAAAGTTGAATGAATTAATCTCTGATATATGGATTGCCAAAGATGACAAGCCTTCCTCTCTTATTGCTTTAGCATTTTTTTCTTCCTCTGTGTTAATAATCAAAAGTTAGTGGAGGACTTTAAATAAACCTCCAATCAATAAACGAACTGGTGACCTCCGATGGAGGATTTTACACGGCGCCACAAACTGGTTTTTATCGGTTATTATCCGGGTGTTTTAAATCATTGTCCTTTCTGCGATCTGTCTGAAAATAGGTTCCTCGTTTTTATGGAATGCAAAAGACTAAAGACCATTTTTAGCATTTAGTTTTTAGTCTTTTTGGGACAGTTTTTACAAACGCGCTTTTTATAGGAGGCGTTTACTGGAATAGAGGAAATAAACCAAAGACCCGACTTTTAAATTTTTTAATCAGTGAAGCAAAGATGGCCGTTTATTGTCTCGCAGAGACAGACTGCAGGAGGGAGCTCACTTCCACAGAGACACACAGAAAACATGGAGGATTTTATTCGGCTGTGGGGTTTTAACAATATTTTATATTCTGTGTCAGATTAAGGAAAAATACAAGTTAACAAGCTCCTCATTTAATGATTTTTTAACTCATTTGTTATTATGTTTTCATTTGTGTAAATAAAGTGTTGTTAAAAGTTGAAAAAGTCAAATGTCATCCATCCAAGCTCTTCCTGCAGCAGGAGAATCCCACTGAAGTGAGAAGAAGAGCATGATGGGAACCGGTTCTTCTCCTCATGGATCAGCAGAAGCAGCGTTTAAAATCAGAAATCAGTCCTTCAGATCCGAGCAGAACTTTCTCTGATCTTCAGCCTGGTTCCTCTGCTCTCAGCAGTCATTGGGACAGACTCTGCTATGTGTGGTATGTTCTTGATTTTACTGCGTGGCTTCCTTCGCTGGTCGCCGGGCTGTTGTGAGCTGCTGTTAATGCTCAGGGTCAGTCGCCACCGCCACACGCTGCTGCAGCATCAACACGTCTGCATCCCAGGAAGTTCTCCGCCTGAGCAGCCAATCAGAGCTGCTGCTTCTACTGAAGCATTTTCAGAAAAACACAGAGAGAAGGAAGCTTGAATCTGATTGGTTGATTGACTTTATTGATCTCACAGTGGAGAAATGTACTTGTTAAATCATCTCAGATAGTCAAAAGAGAAGAAGGTGCATGGGATATATACAGCATATGCAGTGCTTCCACATATGACAGCTTTTTTTTTTTCTAGTAGAATTATTATTATACCAGGTTATTGCACATGGTGTTTACATGGGTCTTTATATAGATGGATATTTTATATTTATATATATAATTATTGCACAGGGTATCAGATAGTAATTGCACATTAAACATTGCAGCAGTTATTGCGGTATTAATGCTGCATTCTAGAGTCTGGTTGCAGCAGGGATGAATGACCTGCAGTAGCTTCTTTTTCCAAACAGGCTGTAAAAGTCTTTGACTAAAGGAGCTGCTCAGCTCCTCTCCAGTCTGCTGCAGAGGGTGGAAGGTGGCGTCCATGATGGATGGAAGCTTGGACAGCTCCCTCCTCTCAGCCACTGAGTCCAGAGTGCAGCCTGGGACAGAAACGGCCTTCCTCACCAGTTTGTTCAGTCTTTTTTGTCAGAATCATAGCAGGTTTGAAGCAGCAGCCTGCTCACTCCAAAGGACCTCAGCCTCCTCAGGAGGTGGAGGAGGCTCTGGCCCTGGTCCAGTCCAGTTTATTCCAGTGGAGTGAGGTGGGGGTCTTTTCCTCAAGTCAATCACCATCTCTCTGGTCTTACTGGTGTTCAGACACTGGTGGTTCTTCTCACACCAGTCCACAAAGTTCATGATGCAGACCTCTGACTGACAGCTGTGTAGGCGCACATACTGAGGGCGCTCGGTGAGGTAGATGATGGTCCAGGCAGCAGGAAGTTCGTCACCTCCAGCTTCCCCCTCAGCAGCTCTGCTGTGATGGGACTGAAAGCGCTGGAAAGGTCAAAGACCGTGACCCTCACTGCGCTCCCAGTGGTCTCCAGGTGGGTGAGCGGCCACTGCAGCAGGTAGATGATGGCGTCCTCCACTCTGATGTCAGGTCGGTAAGCAAACCGCAGTCAAAAACTTAAAAAATGTTTTAAGGTTTTTGACTTATTATAAGAACGCCTCACGTTCTTATTTTCTTCTGTGGGTCAATAAAAGCAGGAAAAAAATTATTAATTTTAACAATTTGGACTCACCTTAAATCTGAATCTCATAAATTAAATCCAAATAAACTTTTCCTGTTCAGATCAGTTTGGATCAACGTTTTTTTTTTTTTTTTTCTCTCTTTGAAATGTAGTGTTTACATTTACCTTCAATGTTCGGTATAACTAAACTATAAACTATAAAAAACAAAACAAGACCAACTTTCCTTTTCATTGTTTGATTAAACATTATTTCTAATCCTAAATGACCAAAAGAAGCAGAGTTTCTCTCACAGCTTCCAGGCTTTGTGGCTCCTCTATTATTTGCAGCTTTGCCTTCTTGAACGTTACAGGAGGATCCAGACAGCAGCGAGGATTTAATGAGCAAAAACCTGAGGAACCAGAAATAACAAGGAACAAGGAAACCAGGAGATTTAAAGGAAAAGTCGCTCATATTCAGAATTCAAACGTCTGAAAGTTCTTTAAATCTGAAATGATTCCATCCTGTTCAATAAATGATCAGTGTTTTTAATTCAGAGTTTCACTATAGCTCTGGTGAATTTCAATGGTGAAGTCCTCTGGAAATCTTCAATAATTGTTGTTGATTGCAGATGTGTCTAGTAG